TTACTTTCCTTCATTTCATGTCAATATTATCTCTGTCACCACTCTTTTTGATTCCACTTTATATGATGTGAAATTTTCTCCTAATTGCTGTCAAATTATGCAGTTGCCTCAATCCAAGATGACTGGATTTACAGCTAGGAGGATTGGCAAATTGTATGTTCTTGATGCCACCCCACCTAAGGCCATCTCTCCCACACCTGGCTCTGTCAACACCTCCTCTTCTCCCCAAGTCGAACCTGCTAAACACGATCCTGCTACTATTTGGCATCTTAGGCTTGGACACTTAAGTCCCTACATATACAAATGTATTTCCTCTCAATTTCATTTTGTCACCTACAATGACAATCATAAGCCCTGTAATACTTGCCATTTGGCTAAGCAAAAACATTTGCCTTTTACTCACAGTAATACTAAGTCTGTTGCCATCTTCGATTTACTTCATGTTGATATTTGGGGCCCTCTTTCCACACCTTCCATATGTGGCCACAAGTATTTTTTAACCCTCGTAGACGATTACAACAGGTTTACTTGGACAATTTTTATGGCCAACAAAAGTGAAACCAGAAACCATTTAATTCACTTCATATCCTTTATCGAAACTCAATTTAACAAGAAACTCAAGTGCATTCGTAGTGATAATGGCCCTGAGTTTCTCATGACCACTTTCTACCTTTCGAAAGGAATCATTCATCAAAGGTCTTGTGTGGAAACGCCTCAATAGAACGGTATCGTGGAAAGAAAACATTAGCACATTTTGAATGTTGCTCGTGCCCTCTCTTTCCACTCTCACCTCCCTCACAGCCTTTGGCACCTTTCCATACAATAGGCCATTCATATTATAAACCGTCTTCCCACTCCTCTTTTAAACAACCACTCTCCTTACCAAAAACTCCATTCTACTCCTCCCAGCCTTAACCATATGAGAGTCTTTGGTTATCTTGCCTACTCTTCGACCTTGCTTAACCATCGCACCAAATTCGAACCAAGAGCAAGAAAATCTATTTTTCTTGGCTACAGGGAAGGCACAAAAGGCTACCTTCTCTATGATCCTATCACACATGAATTTTACATTTCAAGGAATGTATTCTTTTATGAAACTGTGTTCCCTTTTGCATCCATCCCACCTGCACCTAATCCTATAATCCATACTCCTGACCCTCCTTCCCTTGATTCACCTGATATTTTCACCAACATTCCACCCAACTTACCTCCACAATCAAATGAACCTTCCTCTCCTACCTATGTCCCCCAACCAGATTCTCCCAATAACCTCTCTTCTTCCTCAAATGACTCTAACAACTCCCGTTGCCCCTCCCCTCCTGTGCCAACCAGAAAATCCAATCGAAATATTAAACCTCCAGCTTATCTATCTGATTATCACTGCAATTTGTTATCCCCCATGCTGCCAGCATCTGACTCAGGTTCCTCTATCTACCATCTCTCTTCTGTATTATCTTATAGCCAATGTAGTCATGATCACAAATTATTTTGTCTATCCATAAGCTCTTTAACAGAACCAAAAACCTATAAACAAGCCTGCAAGTTTGATTGTTGGAACAATGCTATGAAATCTGAGTTAGATGCTCTTGAATCTACAAATACTTGGTCTATTATTGATTTGCCTGCAGGCAAACAATCAATTGGTTGCAAATGGGTCTACAAAATCAAGCATCATGCTGATGGATCCATCGAACGATACAAGGCCCGTTTAGTAGCAAAAGGATATACTCAGCTGGAGGGGGTGGATTATTTCGACACTTTCTCACCGGTTGCGAAGCTTACTTCTATTCGAACCCTTCTCTCAGTGGCTGCCATTAAGAATTGGCACTTGGAACAACTCGACGTCAACAATGCCTTCCTTCATGGTGATCTACATGAAGAAGTGTATATGGATCTGCCTCCTGGATTCCTGCTCCCTGCTTCTTCGACCAACGAAGTCTGCAATTCTTCGACCAACAAAGTTTGCACTTCTTCTGCTTCTTCGACCAACGAAGTTCGCACTCCTTCGACCAACTAAGCTTGCACTTCTTCGACCAAAGTTTGCACTTCTTCTGCTTCTTCGACCAACGAAGTTCGCACTCCTTCGACCAATAAAGCTTGCACTTCTTCGACCAACGAAGTTTGCACTCCTTCAACCAACGAAGTTTGCACTTCTTCGACCAACGAAGTTAGCACTTATTCGACCGACGAAAGTTGCACTTCTTCGACCAACAAAGTCTGCAAATTACATAAGTCATTATATGGCCTGAAGCAGGCTAGCAGACAGTGGTTTTCAAAATTGTCCACTTCCCTTATCTCTCTTGGCTACTCATATTCTTCTGCTGATCATTCTTTTTTCACAAAATCACACGACTCTTCTTTTACTGTTTTATTAGTCTATGTTGATGATATTGTCTTAGCCGGTAATGATTTGCAGGAAATCAAATATGTCAAATACTTCCTTGATTCCACTTTCAAAATCAAAGACCTTGGTAGGCTGAAATATTTTCTTGGTCTAGAAGTTGCCAGATCAACTCACGGCATTTTTCTCAATCAGAGAAAGTACGCTCTGGAATTGCTCGAAGACAGTGGCTTATTGGCTACTAAACCTTGCTCCACCCCCTTCGATTCCTCCTTGAAGCTTCATGATGATAACTCACCACCTTTCGAAGACGTCACAGCTTATCGAAGGCTTGTTGGAAAACTTCTATATCTGACTACCACCAAACCTGACCTTGCATTCATCGTTCAACAGCTCATCCAATTCATCTCTCATCCTATGCAAGTTCATCATTCTGCAGCAATTCGAGTACTCAAGTATCTCAAAGGTGCTCCTGCCAAGGGTTTGTTCTATTCATCTTCCTCTCCACTCAAACTTTCTGGCTTCGCAGACTGAGATTAGGCAAGTTGCCCTGCTACCCGCAGATCCGTAACTGGATATTGTGTGTTCCTTGGCAATTCCCTAATATCCTGGAAATCCAAAAAGCAGTCTACAGTATCCAAATCAAGTTCAGAAGCAGAATACAGGGCCTTGGCAAGCTTGACTTGTGAACTGCAATGGCTGCAGTTTCTGTTCAAGGATCTCCATATCTCCTTCGATCAACCTAGCTCAGTCTATTGTGACAACAAAAGTGCTATTACCTTGCTCACAACCCCACCTTTCATGAACGGACAAAACATATCGAAATTGACTGCCACGTCATTCGTGAGAAAATCCAAACTGGTCTCATCCATCTTTTACCAGTTTCTTCTGCCGCTCAATTGGCAGATGTTCTCACCAAGCCTTTGGCAGCCCCCTCTTTCGATTCTCTTGTTTCTAAGCTTGGTATATTAGACATCCATAGTCCAGCTTGTGGGGGGCTATTACATGATGAAAATAATTCTGTTTTAGTTTGTTACTAAACAGTTAGTTTGGTTTGTTACAGTTTGTTACAATTCTGTTTAGTTTGTTACTAAACAATTTGTTACTTTAACAGTATATATAATACTGTTTTGTACCTTCCATAACATAATGAATACTATGAGTTTATTCCAAAATTAACAATACATACCCTAAACAGATTTGGAACACTATCCTAAATACAAACCCTAAATCTTACTTGTGATGATAGATCCATCACTACAACACCCATATTCAATAAATCCATAATTATTTATCATTTGGTACAACTTTGGCGATAGAGGGATGAGTGTTATTTTCGATAGTGGCGGCTCCGACGGTAGTGGTTTGTGTCAGAGGTGTCGAAGAAATATTGATTTTGCAAAAGAGAGAGACTGTTGTTGTGATTGTAATGGATCGTGAGAGTGTGAATCTAAGAGTGAAGGTTTAGGATGAAAAGAGAAAAGGAATCGGTGACTATGGTATCAAATGACTTTGTATTTGTCAATGTGACTTTTGAGTTGTTATGAGAAGATGATGATGGATTTTGGATTAGGAATGGAAACTGAGTGTATATTTGTGGTTGTATTTGAAAGATATCAAAATCTGAAAGGATGAAATGATTGTTTTGATATCATATTGAAATATCTTCTATTTTTTATTGTTCCAAAAAGTGTATTTAATAGTTAATGAAATATTTTCGGTTTGTTGTGTCTCTAGTAAAATATAAAGAAACTTTTAAATAATAATTAGGATTTGTTTAATAATATAATGATGGTATAATCCATTGAATATATTTAGGATATAGAACATTTTTAATTGAAAAACGAAAAGTGATTTTTTAAAATAAAACAAAAATTAGTATGAAAAAATATTGAAGCGACATATAAGGAATAATAAATATCGGTTCAATATAAGAGAAACAAGTTTTATAATAAGACATAATTAACTCTATAATAAAATAATTTAAAATTTGAAATCAAAAGGATAGTTTTAGTTTTTTCAAATACTTTAAAATTTATTATTATATTTATAATAGATTAAAAATAACATTTATTTTAAGACAAATAATTTTATAAGATGTGACCCATATTTTAAGACTAGAGGAATATTTTTACGCCTATAATTGATTATATAAAATATTTTTACGCTTATCTCTCTATATGTATTATTCTCGTATAACAATTTACTGCATCAATTTGAGTCGCAACCCACGACAATGACATGTCATCATGACAATAACAGCATCCACGATGTTGAAGTTTATTAGTGGATGTTATAATTAGAAAAACATTATTAATCTAACCTTTGAAAATCGAGCGAATTTTTTGAGATTTTTCGTTTTTGCAAATAGATTGTATAATGTCGGTTAAAAAGAGTATAACTAATCAAGCACAATACATACACAATTCTTAATAGCTTCAAAAATAATATTAGCAGCAAATAAGTAAAATAGCAATGAAACTGAAATTAATACTGTAAAAAAAAAAAACTAATAGATTAATAGAAACCATAAAAATAGAACAATAATATAATTAACATATCTAACTTCATTACATAAAAACCATCGAAGAGAATGATAATGCTCTCATGTTAAAAACTAACAAAATTAAATCTCCTAAAAAGAGCCACAAAAAAAAATCTAACGAAACAATATTCCTTTGTAACCCCAATCACAATCAGTGACTTGAAATCCATCACCCAAAAAAGTTACATTACTTGTTCTCAAAGGAACCTTCAAATTACATCGAATCTTAGGTTTAGCCTTCCCTGTCTTAAACAAACCTAATTTAAACCTCACATTAAGAAAAATCTTCACATCTATTCCATAAACTCCATCTTTCTTCTCTTCCTCGAACTTCGAAATCTGATATCGACTCAAAAAAATCACTTGTTGACCTTCAAAAACTAGACTAAAAAAATCAATACCCTTTTGATGCTGAAAAAATGTTTCTAAGGTTTGAAAATCAAACCTAGAATCTTTATAAAACACAAGCGTTTCGATGTTATCGTAATAAATACCAAGTTTTCGGTTAGGGTTTTGGATCATGATGTCAAGAACGAGATTGTAGTTAAGTGTGTTGTTGTTTGTGATACTGAATTGAGTAAGTGATGCATTAGTAACTGTGAATTTGACAGCCTTAGGTTGTATGATAAGCCATAAGAGGAAAACGATAAGTCCTAATAATATGATGATGAGATTGCAAATTATGGTTACCAAGTTATTGCAGCAACAACAATAGTCTTCGTCCATGAAGTTGTTCATGATTTTTTTTAGAGAAGAGAAGGATTTTAATTTAATTTTCAAGATTTCAATAGTTATTTATATTGAGACAATATTTAATATGGATCCAATCTACAGGTGAATATTTATGGCATGATTATGGTAAGGAAAAATATTTATAAATGGAGAAAATTTAGATACAATTTTTTATGTGTGATTCTTATTATTTTTTAATGAAAATATGACAAATATATTTAAATGTCATTTAAGAAATAAAATAAGATAAATTTGTATATGTAAGTAAAAATTATACACTTCAAATATTTTCACTGGAATAAAAATAAAAATTACTTTAAAAAAGTTATATTTAAGTTTTCTCCTTTACAAAATATATCTTAAATAAAAAACAATAAAATCAATTTTGATACATGAAATTATAAATCACAAAAACAAATGCATAAAATATGAAACACAATAAAATTGAGTGGATAAAAAAGCACAACAAAATCAAATAAAACCAGTATTTAAAATATTAAAAAACCAAAATTAATTTTATTTGATTGAAGCAAGACTCAAAATCATATCATGGTATCAAGTAATACGATTTGTACTACTCAAGAACATTTGGTCCCAAATTAACTAAAAGACATGTTTAAATAACCTATTTTTCTTAGGAATTTTTTGAAAAATTTCTCTAAGATATAACTGAAAAATGATTTCTTGTAGAAATTGTTGCAGTTTTATTTGTGTGTAAGCTTTCCGCAACAAAACTCACATGAATACTTACAGATGTTTATAATTTTATATATTATAAAGGATTAATAGATATTTTATTCTCCATCATATAGATTAGTTTTGATAAATCCTCTTATAAAAAAATTAAATTCAATCTTTATTATTTAAATATTCTATTACTTTAATCTCTCTAAAAATCCAATCAATAAAAATTTTAAATTAAAGACCCTTCATGCAAAACATTTTCCCTTGCCATTGGGCTAGTTTTTTCCGTTTGTCTTTATATTCGTCCAAACATTTTGTACTAAAACTTTACAATTTGAAAAACTTTTTATATTTTCACCCAATTATATCCATCCAAATAATAGTCAATAAAAACTTTATATATTTCAATCACAATTTATTATTTATTAAATATCTAATAAATATTTAAAATTAAATCAAATTATATATATATATATATATATATATATATATATATATATATATATATATATATATATATATATATATATATATATATATATATATATATATATATATATATATATATATATATATATATATATTACAAATTAAGGTTTATGAATTTTTATAACAACTATTTAAATACATTATTTAATAACTATTTAATAGAAATTCTTTAAATAAAATTATTTAATAATATATAAAAGCCCATAAACCTTAATATTTAGAAAAATATTCACTATTTGATGAGAAATTTTTTAAATAATTGAAAAGATATACACCATTTTTATAACTTCAAACAAAGCTTACAAATTATATAAATTATGGACTTTTTTTTAACAAAAAAACTTTATTGATTCAAAATACAAGGAAGTACAAGTGATATCTTAAAGATCCAATTAAACCCAGACAATCACAAAGCCTACAAAACTTAAAACTTAAATCCTAAAAGAGAAGCAACTTACTAACATGAACTCTTACTTTAGGCGTATCCCAACATCTATAAACTATGACATTTATGATTTTATTGATAATAGTTTGTTGGCAGATTATTTCACCAAAATATTTTTGATTATGATATCTCCAGACCTCATAACTGTTTCAGTTAGAGCACACTGAGTTATCCTCAATGAACCATCAGATTTCCTCTGTCCACCTCTTATGCATGTGATCTCTTTTAATCCAATGGAGTATTTTCTCCTAAATATCTTTAGTTTCAGGGAACTCGAAAAATAAATGATTTATTATTTCCACCTCTCCACAGAAACAACAATCTATGGTCTAGCATATCAAATATGTGCAACCTTTCATTAGTTAGCAGCTTTCTATGGCATAACATCCATAAAGTATGCATGGATTTCCTTATCGCAACATTTCCATACATCACATTCTTCCACGGGACATCCAAATGTTGCTCAAAGAAAGCTCTGTAAATAGTTTTTGTGGAATATTTTTCAAGATGTATCATGTTATTCCACACTTGCATACTATTAATCTCCCCTCTCAAGCTCAAAATACTTTTGATTATCCAAGGAGCTGAGCATTTGGTTAGAGCCTATATAACATTTCACTACTACGGAAAACCCCTTTCACAACGGTTGGAAAGGGGTACCATCACACAGATCATACAGTTGTTAAGTAGGGTGTGGTTGTAAGTTCGTTGTTTCTATCACGTTCTGGAAATCGTTATTGAAAGGCAGGTCGCACACCACTTATCACAATAGTTATACTTATAAACCGTTGTGATACTTATACATAGGTACTGGGTTCGAAACCCTACCAGCATCAAATTATGTAAATCATAAATAACCTTTGATCACGATTACAATATATAACCGTTGTGAAAAGTGCCTAGAGTTTATTGTATAATAGGTAGATTGCTTGTTTTCCATACACCTCACTAAAGAAATACAAGCTTTCAAATTGATGAAGAAGTCTATAATATGAAAATTAAGCTATTCTTGAAAACCAACTTAAACAAACCATTATTTTTTCTGATTGCACGCGTCCCATTGTGCATTTCATGCTCTTTTACATATATATCATGGTTTATTGGTCTAACTCCTTCGATATATCATTATCTTCGATTATAATTAAATTTCCATAACAACAAGACATTAGATAATCTGCCTCATCATCATCATCACTTATCATCGTAATTTTTATAATTGTAATTTTTACGATTATTAGTGCTAATGATGAGGCGTATTATCTAATAAATTATAGTTAATGAAATTTAACTATAATAGAAGACAATTATGCATATGAGGAGCCAGGTCATTATACCATAACCTATATGTAAAAGAATATGAAATGAACGATGAGACGCATGCAATTCGGAAACAATGATTGATACAAGTTGGTTTTCAAATACAATTTAATTATCTGATTATAATATCTATGTCAATTTAAGTGAGGGTTAGTGAAACAAACAATCTACATAGAATATAACAAACTCAAGAAACATCATACAACATAACCAGGTATTATAAATTTGTGAGCAATGAAAAAGATATATTATAAATTTCCAAGATGCACCTTTTATTGAAATTAATCGTGGAACAGGAATCAATTTTAAAGTTCATCTATTTTGTGAAGCAATGAAAAAGAAATATAAGGAGGAAGAAGCTTACACAACAACTTCATACTTCTTATATTTCTTCTCATTGTTGTTGCACCCCAAAATTTTCTCTCTTTATTTTAGTCACTTGGCTTATGCTTCATCATACACATTCATACATTTTCATGGTAAATATTAGAGTATTCAAGTTCCCAAGTTCTTCTACAAGCTCTAGAGGATGTTTGCTTGGTCAATCAGTGTAAAAGAGGATATCATATTTCCAATCTTTAAACTCTCTAAAAGCTATCACTACTAAAAAAAAGACATTTGAGAAAAAGTTTTTACATCGGGTATCAAAATATGTGATGTAAAAAATACAATTAACAAACTTTTTACATCAGGTATTTATTTGCAATGATATAAAAAATAAGGAAAAAAAAAATTTTCGCTACCTATTACATCGGGCAATCTCATCCACCGATGTAAAAGATTTCCAAAAAAAAATACGGTGGCATTTTTGTAAATAAGAAACAAGGTGACAGAAATGTAAAAAAAATATAAGCAAGATATTACATCGGTTTAACTAAAAACCGATGTAATAGGTTCTCAGGAGATTTTTAATATATAAAATATATTTAAAAAATTATATAAATGTGCACGCTTATATCGGTTTACCCGCTCCACCGATGTAAAAAGTGCCACATACACGCTTACATCGGTTTCTTCACCCACCGATGTAAAAAATGCTCGCTTGAATTAATATATAAAATATATTAAAAAAAATATATAAAAGTGCACGCTTATATCGGTTTACCCGCTCCACCGATGTAAAAAGTGCCACAGACACGCTTACATCGGTTTCTTCACCCACCGATGTAAAAAATGCTCGCGTGTATCGGTTAGACTTTCCACCGATGTAAAAGCCAAACGCTTGCATCGGTTGGTTCATCCACCGATGTAAAAAATTATTAAAACAAAATTCAAAATTGAAAAAGCCCACATTCTCCAACGCATATCAAAACTCGAACATTGTACAACTTGTATCGTCTCCTCCATTTTACGACCCTGAAACCCTCAACCGACCCATTTTCTCGTCTCTCCGCCGATTATTCGCAGCAACACCCGCCGCCATTATACGACGCCCGCCGCGACGCTATTGCCGTGAACGGCCTCTCGCAGCAACACCCACCGCGACGCCCGCCGCGACTTCTCCGTTTCACGAATCCTCTCCGCCGATTGCCCTTCACGACTCCTCGTCGGCCGATTCACGCCCTTCACGACTCTTCGCTCGCCGTTTCAACTGTAAGTGCAAACTTTTGGTTTGAAAATGAGTGATTAGCATTATTCCTCTTTGAGTTTATATTTAGAGTATGTTAGATTGTAAGAAGAGATTGAAAAGAGAGAAATAGTGGAAGGGAGTATCTAAATTTTTATAAATAATTAATATTCTAATTATTTTACCAAATAGTTGTTCAACGATATTTGGTTTAAAACCAATGTTTTGCCAAATTTTGCTTATCAATTCGTTGTTACAGTCTCATTACTATTATAAATTACACTTTGTTACTCGTGTGTTTTATACTTTGTTCCATTCTTGTTACTATTATTATACTATTATATTTGAATCCCTTTCTCCTATTTTTTTGCTCACCAAATAAAAGCTCCTGCCAATTTTATTGATTGTTCTGATCGAAAAAACTCTAAGTACTATATTGTTGTTGTTCTGGTTATGTTTTTTATTTTATTAATCTGTTTTGTTGGATTTTTTGTGGGTTAGTAA